CTTTGTAGACATACATTCGTAGATCGCTTGAGATGGGAAGAGGAAAATAGTAAATGCCGATTGACTACGTTAGGTAAGACAATTTATACTTCACAATATAATATTTGCATTATTAATGATGGAAGTGAAAGCGTCACAATTCTAAATTTTACTAGTAACCTTAATATGGTGATAATGTTGATTTAGTAGATAAAAAAGGAGACAAAACTAATAGCGCAATGTTATCAACCTACAACTAACGATTGATATTCATATTCTGTACAGTATTTGCAGAATTAATATAGCAGCCTATGTACAGTCGTCAAAAACATAGAATAGGTAATTATCGTAACTAGTCTGACCTTTTTATAAATCGTGATAGAACCCAAATATATTAACAAGTAGATAAAAAGTATTATGTTCTGTATGTTACAGATTGCATTTATCCTAGCTTATTGCACTTGTATTCCAATAACTAAATATATCTACAAGTTACACTCGTTCAATCTGTTCATTCCATACCTATAAGGCATTGCAAAATTACTCCATTAACTTAACTTGGGCATACAGTATTCTAACCAAAATTAACATAAAGCAGATATATGATAGCTTATTCGACATGCAAGTACTGTACAGTCACAATCAATTTAAAATACTTATCAATCTGTTCATTCTATATCTATAACTATATATGCCTACAAGGACACACTAGGTCAAGCTTTGAATATTAAAATATAAAGCATTGCAAAATTGTACATCACTCAATTAAGTTAACTTGGATATGCAGTATTCTACTCTACCCCAAAATTAAAAAATAATTAGTGTTCAAACATGATTCATGCTCTAAATGTATTGCAATTTACTTTGTGTTTATTTCAATACGTTCTACGAACCGAAATCTGATTAAACTTACTTTTCTTCATCATATGTAAGTAATGATTTGTTATGCATTTTCTTTACGAGAGGACGAGCTTCGATTACATCGTAGTTCCATAACGATGCAACAGATTGAATAGGAATACTGACTCGCTTAAATACAGCTAGTTGCTCAAATAATTGTTTATTCTCATTTTCCAAAGAATCAACACTTAATTGTAAAGTCCCGTATAGATTGAAACCGTAATGAGCTAATTCAATATCTGCAGACTTTTTGGCAATGATACCCTTTGCTCGATTCCATTCTTTCTCAGTTTCTAAACCAAGATGGCCAATTAAAGTGATAGCTAATGGTAAACCTTGACAACTGTCGATAACTTTCTCGACAACTGAACTTTTTAGCAATGTCCGAGCATTATCGTTAACGGCAAGTAACGCAAGCAGTTCTATAGCTTCATCATACGTTAGATTTTCCTATACAAGAGAGTATATGAAATAAGAATTGTATTTATCATAATTGTTCGGATAGGTTACTTAATGACAAAATAGAGAAATCATAGCGGTGAAGTTTTCTTCAACTATAACACTATACTCCATGCCACTTTAATTAATACAGTTGGAAAAAAATTATAAATTCATTTTTGACCTTTTATTGCATGAAATGAACAATATCATCAGAGCAATTCAACTGTAACTGAAACTGAATTACAAAACTAACCTGTAAACGGATGCAGTGATGGTCGAGCTCATTTTCACGATACTTAAATCGTGAAGTAGAGATTGACTTCTTGGCAAAAGATAAGTATTTGTAATGATCCTTTTTCCAGATATCGTCAAAAATAAATAGCGTCTCGGATAGTCGGCTATTTGCTGTTATAAGAATAATCAAATACCTATTAATACTGTACCTTAAATATAATTCAAGTTGACATGGAATTACTTATAAAAGGCTCGAAAATCACCTTCTAGACTAGAACTGAGATAAGCACAAATCTCGCTGATAGATTGAATATTCTCTTTCCATTCCATATTAAGTCTGATACCTAATGTCTTGAGTTCCTGGCATAATTCGATATTAGATATATTGCCTAAATTAAGATAATTATGAATCACCATCGCTGCTTTAAACAAGCATGGCAATTTAACGACCTTCGACAGCGCGTACATTTCAACAAAGTTAAGTTTAAAGGATCTAACAAATATGTATCTCTTTTCCCATCTCATCTTGCGTTTTAGAGCATTTCACTTTATTTGCTCCAGTAGATAAAGGGATCATTAATAACATGATAATCCACTTATCGATAATGCCTAAAGATCTGACCCTAACAAAATTATGGTTCGATTTCATTTTATCTCTCGACGTAATATTGCCTAAAAATAGTACACAATCATAATACTTTCCACTACTGGTTAAATATGGCCAAATTTTTTAAAAGGGAAAAAATTCCACGGTGTCATGATTTTTAAATCAGGTTACACTTATTAATTTGAATAGGAATTTATAGTCGATTCTCATATACTAGAAAATAAACTTTACTGTACTATTAATTGTAAATTGTGATCGCTTTTAACGTCATTTAATGCGGTAAGGCAACTATTTTATTATATCGTAGTCTGTAATTACTTTTGCTACATTATTTTCATAGAAAGAATTGCTCTTGTAAATATGATTGAACTACGAGTTAAAGTTATCTTACTAGAAGCTCGATAAATATGGAAAGATTAAAAACTATGATCATTACATGGTAGCCTACTTGATGGCATTTACTCATAAAATAAGGTTAAACTTATTTATCTCTTGGCAATACTTTTATCGATTCCATAAGAACAATGTTCTCATCTCGTACTTCTTATAATTCTGCTAATGATACTAGCAACTGCTTTCGGTCCGAAGTAGATAAGGGACAGGTGGGGTAAGCTTATGCTCTACTCCAAATTCGAATTGATCAATTTTACAGATACATTGTATGGATATTTGTACAGTAATAGTCGCCCAAATACATTACTTATTAATACTTGAAATATCATCTATAAGACTTACAAACTTACCAATTTTCATCCAGTAACAGCCATTTGATTTAAATAAGCCCATATCAGCAATAGCTTGTCTAACAGACTGGCAAACAGTTGTTGTTTTACCACTACCAGCCATACCATGTATTAAAATTTGACCATTTGACTTGTCTATCTTCTGTAATTGAGTACAAATTTGGCCTACAGATTTCTTCCTTATAACGTAGCGACCCTCTGGAGTTGGAGGAAGCTCTCGAAGAGGAATTTCTAATTGTGGAATAAATTATGTATAATGGAGAATTTAATAAATTGGAAAGGACATGTCACAATTGCCTTTCGTCTTTAGCGTTGAGCAAGAACGATTATTTTCCCATTATAAATGAAACTCATAGTAAATGTTTATGAAATTAACGGTACAATAACTGGCATATTCAAAACTTGCACTGGATAAACACGACTAGTAAAACTCAACAAACAATATCCTTAATCTAGTAGCAAGAGCGTTTGAACGTCTAATGAATTTCTAAAGTGATTTTTGATATAAAAAGATAGGTTTTATCGCAGATTTAAAGAACTGTCACTCACGCAAACAAAATTGAATATTGCACGACACTGATGGTGAATTAAAAGAATAAGCCCATATTAATCTATTCAGGAAATACGCTTACGTTAAACAAATGAAAACATAACTAGGTGTACTTAAGTCTTATGTGTTGGAAGGTACATGTTTTTACAGAATTCTGTCATTGAACTATAATCTATAACTTTTTAGCAGTAAATCATTTCAAGAATTTTAAATATTGTATAAAATTGACATACTATGTTAAAATTACAATTCTATATTAAACATGGAAACCCTCGGGTCGATCAATTAATTGGATAGTATTTTATATCAGTTTTACGTATTTAGACTAGCACAGTAACAGATACGATTAATATTATTCGCTATCAGTCGACGTCATCGTATACAGGTAAAATATCTT